AATAACAATAATTAATTTTATGTTAAACCAATGCAGACACTCAGTCTGCACGAATGAAGATTTACTCAACATGCTGAATTTCCGAAGAGACTCCACTTGCGCCCTACTTTTTGATTAATTCAGCAAATATTTATTTGGCTGCTTGAGGCACTATAAAGCATTCAGCTTTATTCTCAGATTGCCATAGTTTGTATTTTAAAAAAAAAACCTTTCTAAGAAATAAACCCCACAAAACCCAATGATTCATACAGGATAATGGAAGTGGTTTATAGTGGGTTAGGGTTTTGTTCATGTGTGCGATCAATAAACAAGCAATGCATTTTAGCTGCTGCTGCTACATATTGGTGCAAATGTGACCGACTCTTGTAAAGCTTGAATTTCCTTCAAATGTTTGCAAGCAATTGACGAGGAAAGTCAGACGACCCACCTCAATGTAAAACACCAGAAATGAACTTAAATGACAAAAATAAATGCATCCCACTATTTATATTTTGATTTATTCATCTGAGATTATGAGCTGATTTTTTTAGCACTGGAATTTGAAGAAAAGGACTAAAAGCTGAGGATGGACAATATGACTCGAGATAAATGCTTTTCATATCGGTTGATATCGATAATTATTGAGTTGAGTTCCTCTTTTATTCACAATTTTCCCTTGAACTGTTGTACTCATTTTCTCCTTTCATCTTTATTTTTAAGCAGTTAAAGGGTACGGTGGCAAAACATGAAATTGCTCCTACATACTCAGGTATACATTGTGTACACATTCTGTGAACTGCAGATGGTTGAGATTTCACAGTCAAGTCTATCAATACCCTTTATTTCTTGTGACAAATTTCTTCCTTTCCCTTAATCCAAATCCATCAATGCTCAAATCTAATCTGAATATCATCATTCTTAATTTGCATATGCTAATTATGTTTTAATCAAACATATTTTTAGTTTAAAACATACGCCATGTTCCTGGATTATCCTGAGAACAAATATCACACAAAGGATTAGATGTGACCTCAGTCCTTATCAGATTCACCTTTAACTTTAACTAGAAGGTGTCCAACTTCTTTTGAACAAACACAGTTATTATCAAAAGCTAGTAGTGGCACTCGATTACATTATTTTATCAAAATTAGTCGGATTTTAATCAAAAATCATATATCCACAAAATAAACATTTTCAATTGAAAAACCCTTTTCACTTCTAAATTATTGAATAGATGTATAAGCTCAACAATAAATGTTTTTTATTGTTTTTAATCTGTTATTTAAGTTATTCAAAGTGCTCTTTCAAATGATTCAGAAATTTTTGATCATCTAATTGTGAATGGTCCAGCTTCTTTAGAAAGGTGAACTGTGGACATGTGCTTGCCTCAACATGCTTTGCATTGAGATGGTACGTAGATGTCACTTGTGCATCAGTTTCATGGACAGACAAGAAGCAATTTCCAGCTCAGAAATTTTGTGCGTTTAAAAAAAAATGCAGCAAATTGCATTTAATTTTTAACACATTAAAATCTGTGCTACTCATGGGAAATAGACCATCTTTTCAAAACCACAGTAATTGTTAATATACGTCTATGAGGACAATATGTAAGAACAAGACAAACTTCCTCATAGACATTTTCTGCTCTCTGCTACTCTATCATGAATGCTCAGGTTAGTTAGCATGGCCACCGATGACAGGGGATAAGTTGTTGTTCTGTAACATTATGTTGTTTCTCCACCATTAGCTCATTAAACAGCTCATACAAATAAATAAGTCAATAAATGATACCCATAACATCGTAGCAAACATCACCATTTATTGGGGAACTTCTCCAAACCCTGGTTTATATTTATGTTATTATATTCAATGTAGGGAGAAGAACCAGTAATAAAATAAAATAAAATTAAAACCATGAGTGTTAGGTGCTAAACATGTTTAATAAAAATATACTACTTAATAAAATGGGAAACACAGATTAAAAGTCCAAAAATTACTATTTAAAATTACTATTTTCATTTGACGTAAACACCTTTTCACGTAGTGAAAACATAAAAACCTTCTAAATGTCTTCATTCAACCCATTTTATTCACCATAAATCAATGCCTCAAATTTAAGTCCTGCACTGTTTGCATTTCCACAGCACATGCTCGCCGAAGGTCTAAAGTCTGGTATGACATCACAGTGGAGCAACCGGCATAAGCAGAGTCTTTCAAAATAGTGTCACTTAACATCTCACTTAACACCTTTGCATGCGCACACACATTCATGGGCTCTCACAACCTTGGTAGAAGGAATGCACCCCTCCATTTGTTTATCAACACCACAAACAGAGTGCACAGCAAGAAGTAAAAAAAATAAAAAATCTCCAAAGTTAAATATAAACACCAGTATGTGGATGATTAATTTTAGAGCCCACCAATCAAAAGCATACTAGAGCAACTCACTATAAAAAGGAAATTTGGACCACAGTAAATTTTATTTCTTACAATGATTACATTGGAATACAACAATAGGGTTTATAGATAATGTTCAATAATAACTGCATTCTTACATGAAACCCTTGGTATGAAATAATGGTGACAATATTTAATAACAAATTTAGATTAGCGATAACTCGTTGGTTCGGTCAACATACAAGGTGATAAAGATAAATCTATAAATGTCCTCATTTGCATTAAAATCTAATCTCAAACTGAGACATTTTAATCTCTCCAGCAGCTTCAAACAGCTGCTCTCCATTGTATGTGGCATAAAGCAAAAACAGTATTTCAGAAACACAACATCCTGTTGACGGTCAAGCATGGCGGTGGTAGAGTAATGGGTTGCTTTTGTAGTTTAGATCCCATATGACTATTCATGAGTAATTGAACCTTCTTCAGAAATTTGTCTCTCTAGCAGAAATTCATGAAGACCTTCAGATCAACCTCACTTGGGTTATGTAGCAGGACAATGCCCCAAAGCACACAACCAAGTCCGACACTAAAAGGGCGAAGAAATTAAGGCTTTTGCCCAGTCCAAGTCTGAGCTCAAAATCAATTGACATAATGTAACAAGACCATAAAGGGGAGCATTCATGCTCTAAAAGGAATAAATGGAAACAAATCTGTACAGAAGAGTGCAGTCAAAATTCTTTGATAGTTAACAAAAAAAACTTGATGGCAGATGATAGGTTTAAGACACTATTCACATAGTGCGAAGTTGGTTTGGACAACTTTTCCTTCCACCCTTCCGCCTCAATAAATTACACAAGTGATTTCAAAAATCTGCCTTTTTGCATTTACTCCAGTCTGCTTGATGTAACAAAAACATATCTTTTTATCTGAGACTGTTAGAAAGAAATCTTTAAGAAGGCGACTAAAAAAAAAAAGAAATCATAATGCCACCCATATGCAGGAACTATGCCTTTCTCCTGCCACGCCCTCCCAGCCAGACAGTCAATGATGCATAATATGTCTACGCATAAAGAGAGGAAAGAACAGGCATGAGGTGCAATATGCATTTCTTTTTGCTTATTTATAATGATTTAAACGGCACAGAATCATCTTGGTTTTGGTATACTAGCACTTTGAAATATGAACATATAAACTTTTAGATTTCTTAAAAATATTTATTTTTAATTGCACCTATAATTTAACTCTAGCAATTTAAAGCTCCTAAAATGTTGTTATTTTTCTTGCTGTGTCATGCTGAGATTATTAGCGGTCCTAATGTGGCAGCAACTATAAAACTTTCTGTATGTACCCTTGGTCTGGTCTGGTAAGCTTACATAATTGCTTTTCAGAAATTATATAACTTTGTATATGAACCCCATATGTTTTGCTCAGACTGGTTATGTGACCTCACAATGGTCTACTTGGATGGGAGCCACTTGGGTTAACTCAATACATCCCATATCACAAGCTAACACATGTATTAAGAAAATCAGATGTCATTAGAGCTTCACTTTTGCACACATTTATCCTGCATCAGGGGAGGCTCAGTAAAATAGAATGTGACTGAAAAAAACAGAAAGATATACTAGTAGGCCTACACATTTTCATTTATGTTAACCTTAATTAACCAAAGTCCATGGAAATGAAATGTTAGTTTTTCAGAAAATTACAATGCTGAATAGGATCAAATCAAAATAGTTCTTAAACACATGAATGTTATAGTCTGGGCTTCAAAATCAATGTTAAGCAGACAATCAATAGAAAGTTAAGTGGAAGGGAAAAGTGTGCCAGAAAAAGGTTTGTGTGCAACAGGAAGACTTGCTGCCTTAACAAGCCGAAGGCCACTTTAAAAGCAACCATGGACTGCCACCATGCCACACACTACATATAGGCATTTATGCACAATGGGCCCTGAGTAAGTACTGACCACATTAACGATGAGGAATATGGGGAAACTCTCCATAAACTGACATTTCTGTTTTCATCTTTTTTTTATATTCTCATGTTCTAATCTTCTGAGAGAGTAATTTCTGGGTTTTCAATTACTTTAAGTCATAACCATAAAAATAAATAAATAAATAAATACTTGAAATAAGTAATAGTACATATTTTGTTTTGGAGTCACTAAATTTGAGAAAAAAAATTCACTGGGATGTATCTGCACAGGCAATAAACCCCTCTCTAATGTGGATAATCCCTTGTAGTTAACACATCCGGCTGCAACACGCTTGTAAATTCGCAAACATGTTATCGGTTAAGTTCATTCTGTTTTTTGGGGGTTTTTTAAATTATTTATTTCAATTTTTCCTGAATGTAGTCAAGTCTGAGAAACCTACAGGCCCAAACGGCCTGCAGAGCAAACAGCCGTCATCATCATCACCATAATGACATTGCTTTGTTTTGCAGTCTGTTATTCCACTTGTCCCGATGCCGCTACTGACAGAGAGCCGTGCAAAGCTGCTGCATGCCATCAGAGACAGCTAAAAGCCCCCACGGGCTTATCTATGGCTGATTAAAAAAAATAAAAAAATTCTGATCATCCCGACATGATCTAATAGAGATGTCTGAAGTTGGACATGTCTTACCTGGTCCCGCGGAATGCAGGGCAGTGAAGTCCTGCGGTGGGACTTGCTGTTGCTCTGACTGTGAGCCATCATCTCCGAGGCCGCTATGGAGCTGGACCTCCGTCTCCTTTTGAAGACAGGGATGTCCTCCTCCTTCGCCCCGGTCACAGAGCTACAGCACCCCGTCCCGCTGGTCCCTGAGGCCGGCAAAAGCCGGTCAGCATACCTCGCAAGCAAAACCCCCAGCAGCCCCAGCAGGTAGGCCAGGTAGGGTCTCCAACTGGCCCGGACCCTGCTCAGAGAGAGTAGGGACACGGCCCTGATGACGCTAATGAAGACGAAGATGGACACTCCCTGTCCCGGCCGGACGACAAGCAGAGCCCCGCCGCCCAGGCACCCGAGGACTACCAGGGTTGCGGTCTGGGACGACAACTCCTCCGCGCCGCGCAGCAGCGACTGCGCCGCGGCTTCGCCCAGGTGGCACGCCGCTAACAGGAAGAGCGCGCTACGGATCAGCAGCCCGCAGCGAATCAAGCAGAGCCAGACCCAGAAGAAGGCACTTACGAGTGTAAAAACGGGCAAGACGCAGTGACACGCAGAGAGAAGCAGCTCCACGGTGCAGCCCGTCGCTGAGTGGAAACGAGAGCCGACGCAGCTACTATTTCCGCTGCTGCTGCTGCTGCTGCTTGCATCCCACTCGACCAATCTGAGCAGCAGAGCGAGGAGCGCGGAGACGGAGGCGACGCAGACAGCAGAGGACACTCTTCTGCAAGTCCATGTCGCGGAGAGCCTCAGCCACGACTGGCTCCGCTCGTCCCGGTGCAGCGGAGTGACACATGTCTTCACGTAGCCGCTGCGCTCCAACGCTGCCCGGGGATGTTTGTCATGTGCGCCTCCTGATGAATCTCTGCCGCTGTCTGCCTCCAAGGACATCTTTGTCGCTCTGGCTCGTTTGGATGCCTGTCCGGGGGTATAATAGATTTACTTTGAGTGTGAGTGCTTCATTCACATGCTCCATGTTCATCTGTGCACAAACTGGTCTCTGGTGCTTGGCCGACAACGTTTGAAACGGTTAGAGTCATGTTTGCACAACTTTTCTGAGTTTTTGTGGCTTATGGCTTTCATAGTACACTCATAGCTGCCCCGGGAAGTCAAGCAGTGAACCAAAAAAAAAAAAAAAGCAACCCCTGGCGTTTCACACATCCAGGCCACTGCCTCAGTTCCTCCACACAGCAGCCTCTCTCTCTATTTCTCTCTCCTTTTCTCCTCTCCCCACCCACCAGACATTATCCCCTATTTTGTGCCGCTCTGGTGATTACTCCATCACGTTTCAGCCCTGCTCAGTCTGCAGGCTGCAGTCTGCCCTGGATGTGACTCAGTTCGCAGTGGATGCTTGCCATGTTTACATAAAGATTTTCCGGCTTGTTCTGGAAGATGGAGCGGTCTCATTATGGGAATTAACTATCGTAATCCCATGATATATTTTAGGAGCATAGCGCAGTTTAAGAAAGGGAGAAGAGACCAAAAGGTGCCTGTTCTCCATCATGCTGTTAAACAGGAGGATGCTGGGAAAGGTCAAAGTCCCCGACAAAAAAAAAAAAGAAGAAAGAAAACATACTCATAATTTAATTTAAAATGTTCTTGATCTTGTCTCGTTCCTAAGAGTCTCACTAGCATACTTCAAGTTGCCGCCCCGGTAAAGATGGGAGACACAACCTGAATTAAAGATTTTTGAAAAATCATACCATTGATTTGAATGCAGTCGTTAAGCAAAGAAAAACTCCTGAAGAGAGAAAAGGTTATTTTTCTAACACATTTCACAAGTCTGCACTGTGACACCATTGGAAGCAGCACTGTTGCCTTGAGTCCCGGGGTCTTGCTGCAATGAGGCAATATTCTCACCATGCATTCATGGCTTCTTTCCAGGTTTCCTCCCAGTCCAAAAACATGACCGATGGATTAACTGGTTTTTCAAAGTTGCTTGTAGGCGTGAGTGTTTTGCATTACTTTTATGTGACCTGTCCTGAGTCTCTGTGCAGCCCTGAGATCGACTGGCGACCTTTTCAAATGATGGCTGAAACATCCATTGCAACCACGTCAGGATAAATGGATCATCATCACAAAGAGATATTTGCTCAGGCTTAACTCTTCTAGGATTTAGGACTGTAGGTTCAGATGTTGATGGTAAAACATTTCTTTCTAATGAATCAATCCTGATTTGTCCAAATAATTTTAAACATTGTCCTGCTGAAAGACCAAAATGACTCCCAATTTCATATGACTCAGAGCCACAAGATCTTCATTTAAAATGTATTTTTTAAAGCTGCTCAGGATGCCATCATTTTAACAAGGTTCCTCAGGCTTTTGGGGAAGAAATAATCCCACAGCATCACAGATCCTTAGCTGTACTTAACAATAAACATCCTTTGTTATGAAAAGCCCACTCTTAGTTTCACGCAGTACAGAAGTTCAAGAAAAGTTAGCTAAAAAAAAAACCCACACATTTACGAATGTGAAGGTAGAGAAAAGTTTTTTTCACGGCATTCCTCCCATGAACTGATTAACAAACACATAGCACAGAATGGTTTATTTGCATTTACCACTGCTGCACTGCTGGAGTACTTCCCTCACTCCATCCATGACAAAAGAATTTAAAGCATAGACACAGCAAAAAAGATTTTTAGTGATTTTTTTTGGGTTCTTTGTGGCAGAATGAAGAGCAAGTTAGCAGTCTCCCCTCGCTTGGCCTACATTTTATGAGAGGATTTAAAAAGGGCCCACGCAGTCATGTAAAGCCACTCAAGTCATCTCTTTCAGACCTATTAATAATTCACAAAAGACAAATAAATACCCTGTCTCTAAACTTTTTTTTTGTAACCATTGCTGGATTATCTCTTATTTTGAAGGTGAAATGTCAAAAACATCTGTTTGACTGGGGAGTACAAATACATGAGAAATATTCAAAGCCTCTTATTTCTTTCATTATGTATTTAAAAGGGAGTATAACATAAGGGTAGTGTTTTTGTGTACTGCATTCAATCTTACGCAACACGAGCCAGAGTAATAAGTCAAATACTATCAGCACATAAATCTATGTACTATTTATTGCTATTTTTAGGGCACTTCAACATGCAGGAATCCAAAAAGTAATCTTTTGGATTTACTCTACCCTGTTTTACAATCTTGTAAACTTCCAACATCTCATTATGACTATTATTGTGCCTTCACTAAATGTCAGGTGTAACACGGTTGCGAAGCTGAGCATAGAAATATGTAATGAAGCAGGTTCAGTGTTAACTTTAATCTGTTGTCAATCACATTTGGTAAAGCTAGCCCTGAGAATAACATTTTTGAGAGAAATTTTCCAGACACGCTCCTCTGGCTATGCAGAAGAAACTAGTATAACAATTTTATAAATCATTAGGAAGTCTTTGCATGAACTCAGTGGATGTGCATAATTTGTCCAGTTTCTTATATATACTCACGTGCATTTGCATGCGTTCTCACTAATTGAAATTGTTTTTTTGTTTGTTTGAATGTGAAGATGACTGAAGCTTCCTGGGAAAAAAAATATACATTCAAGGGAGTTCCCAAGTTTTCACAATGGAATAGTTATAATTTAGTTTCATTAAAATTGTCTTCACATGTTCAGATCAAGGGTTTGATTTTTTGTCTGAAGTTCATCCTGAACTTTTGGTTTCACAAATTTATCAAAGTGTCGTTTAATTCACACTGGAAATTAAGATTTAGTTTTAAGTGCAACACCAAAAAAAAAACCAACAAAAAAAAAACAACAAAGAGTTTTTTGGGGAATATTTGTCTTCTTCTGCCAGGATGAAAAACAAAAACATATAGATATAAACAAATATTTCCACTCTCTCAAAAATAAATAAAACAAATTCAAGATTTATGAATAGAAGGCTTGGCTAATCCAGATTACACAATGCTCTTCCCTTCCTACAGCTCTTTCAATACCAATGGTCAAGAATAGTACAAAAACTAATGCCTCAAATATTATTCTCTTTTCAACCACAAAGAACTTTCTATGTGTCTCTTTCTATGTTCTAGAACAGCTTTCTATCATCGTTTGTGAACACAATGAAGAGGTTCGCCGATGAACTGCGCCTCCTCCTCCCACTACTCCAAAATCAACAAATCGCCCCTGAATCCCTCACTCACCTCCTCAGGAATCCTGGTTTTGTCCACCTGCTGATCTTCACTTACCCATGTCAAAGAAATCAACCACATAGCACAAAGAACAAAAACCTCATCAGGTTGTGGAAAATGAGGGGTATTTCTGGACCCTCAGCACCACATCAAGCCAAGTCAAATTTATTTGTGTACCACATTTCAGCAACAAGGCAATCCAAAGTGATTTATAAGATAAAAATACAATAATAAAAAAAGAAACGTTACATTTCAGAGACAGTATATAAATAAGTAATGAAATCAAGACTCTTACTCTCATCATACATACCTTTCTTGCCATTTCATAAACTTCTGTCCTCTCCTCCACAGATATCCATCTGAAACTGTGCTCTGGAAAAAAGATAAACAATTCACATTATTGTTCAATAAATCTTTTCAACATTCTTTGTTTCTCAGGGCCATCTGGTTTAAGGTCAATAGCGGCTTGTAAATATGATGCAAATTATAAGATTGTGCAGTAAAGTTCCTTTTTTGTTATCTTTATTGGACTGCTTGTCACTGCAGCAATAACACAAAAATGGCAACATTAAAGGTATTTAATATACTAAACTTAGATAAAAAAATATTGTTTACGGATATGATGTATTCTGATCTTTATAAGGGCCAAAAACTATTTTAAGTACCCTGGACATTTTTGATACATTCTGAACTACTCTACCACTAACAGAAGACGTCTTGGACTTTAGGTGTCAGATTTTTTATTCAGGATGTCATGTTTTGCAAAACTGAGTCTCGTTTGGCTGTTAATAGCCATAAATTATGACTAAAACTAGCTTCTCAGTTCATGTCTATAAAAACCTGACTAATAAAACTTTTAAAATAGCAGTAAATGAAGGCAGAAGTCCAGCACTGGCATTTTTCAAACACCAAGACACTTTGGAATAAACACAAACACATTTTTTCCAACACATAAGGGTTTATTAAAAAACAAAAAACAACTTTTCTAATAAATAGTTTAATTAACAAAACTCCTAAGCTAGTGACACTCAGCTTAACAGCTAAGCAAAATATGAAATAAAGAGGAAACGGTTAGAGTAAACGAATAAACTGTAAAAAAGTAAAATGTAAAGATGCAACCAGAATGAAGAAAATGATGTCATAGTTCAGTATGAATTGTGAATGCTGAGAAACCAGATTGATCTAAGAAGAATTTGGAAATGAGACCAAGTTAAATTCCTCTAATTCAGAATGGGTTGTACCAGAATATGCTGTGCATAGCCCCACCAGAAATGTTGTTGTTGTGTGACGTGGCCATGCTTACTAGCCTGAGCCTCCATGGCAGCCTCTACAGCTCGGAAGCGGCCAGGGAGAGCAAGGGGGAAGCTGTGAGCAGCACTCACACAAGCTTAACTGACAACACTAAGACCCTCCTCCTTTCTCTGATTGGTTGTTTCTAACTACTGTAGCTTCATTCTGTGGAGGAAATTTAATGCAATTATTGAATTAAAAAAGAAAAGTAAAATTTCCACATGTTGTTACAGCTTCTAAAAAAGCATTAGCTGGTTTTTTGTTATTTTTAGAAACTGCCACATAGTGTTTTATATGATGGCCAAACAGATTAATATTGGTTTAACCCTTTTCTTCCACCATATTTAGTGTGTCCAAAATGTGATTTGAAAGACCAGATTTATGGAGTCCACAACATGCAGTCGTTCTCCCAACAGACTCTCCTATCTGAGCTGTGGAGACCGCTCCTAGTCAGAAACAACCAACTACAGCCATGAGGAATGTCTTAGCACTGTCAATCATGCTCGTTCACACCCAACCCTTTGCTCTCTGCAGTGTTATAGCTTCTCCCCAACACCAGAGCCTGAAAGCGCAGGCTAGTAAGAATGGCCAACAACAACGACGGATAAATTGTTTTTCTGTAACATTTGAATGTTTCGCCACCATTAGCACAGCTGCGGCAAGTCGGCAATCTTAAGCTTGTACACACTGTAGGAGGTCAGGTTCATTCCACCACAGCTGCTGCCACCTGCAATTACAATTTTAAACTGCAAATAGTGTTAAAACTGATCTGTGACATGTCTTGCAGAATCATGTTCTGGGAAAATTTACTGAGTGGAACAAACTTGTCAACTGAAAAACGGAAAAATCGCCACTATGTCAGGACACAACTGTAAAACCAGCCCCCCCAATGGTGTCATACATATGCACGCACACACATACAAGCACACACACACCTCTGTCAGGCCTCCTCAGTCTTTCAATAACTGTCAAGATATCATGGGCTGGAAGTTATTTATGCGTCAGAGTAGCATATAATGGACCATGTCATGTTTATTACTCTCCAGCTGCCATAAATCTTATATGTTGGCCTTTTCTCACCGCTAATGAGTTGGAACATGTAACTAAAATGCCTTTTAGACAAGAGAGGAGAAAATATGCGCTTTAGATACATGTTTAAAATGAGAATTTGCATGTGGTGGATTGTTGTAACTTGTTATGACTTCACCAAATAAAAAGCCAAAAAAAAGGAAATATCAGGTCTTTGGGACTCGTACCAATGCATCATTTGGTCTTAGGCCAGTTTGTTTGCACATAGTAGCTCTGTTCTCATGTGAGCTTTAATGTTTGTTTGTCCAGCTATCTGCATGCTATTATAAATCTTTGAAATAACACATACTTTTGTTTAATCAGATGCTGGAGTATCTGCCTTAATGTCTTAAGATAGCAACGTGGTTGTGTTAGAACAGCCTGCAAAATACATCAATATATCACAGTACCCTTCAAAAGTATTCATGAACTTTTTCACACTTTGTCACCTTGCAAGGAACACATTATAACTATAGGAATACCAACAAAAATATGTTTTGATGGCATTTTACCAACAGAAGCAGAACATAGTTATGCTTCACAAACAAAGAGTAGTATTTTTTATTTTTTTTACCAATAAAATTCTGAAAGGTGCAGTCTACATGACACAAATATTTAGAATGTAATATAGCTACAAAATTGTGCAAAAAGGCTTTCTCATAAATCTTCATGTGCGTTACTTTTCTATTAGGTAGTTCCTTTGATCAGAACCTCTTGGTTCATTCTCAGTACATTTTACAAGGTGAACTAATGACATTGCCTCTTCTACCTCTGGTTCCTGAGTAAATAAACATCAGCTTTTGGGTAAATAAATACCCAATGCAAACATGCCAATTGTGTAAAAACTTATAAAACCGCTTGTAAAAACTGCTATAATGTTTTTAAGATTGGAGTTGTTTCAAAATGATAGAAGTCGACTTTGGTTTTCCTGTTAGGGCTTATACAAAAGAAAGATGACAAGAGAGCTATCTAAATCAGATAAGATATTTACCACCTCATCATAGGTTATGGCCAGTTTTGAGATTTCAAACTTGACTGTTTTGAAATCTGAGTTTAATCAAACATCAAGCTCCTCGGCTAAGCCAAAAAGTTGAGCTGTGAGTCTTAAAAGTAAAGTTAAGTACCAACATAAAAAGAGAGACATAAGTTCAAAAAAGTGCAGTGGATTTAGAATAACAAACTGGTGTAAAAGCACCCAACTCCATGCAGAAAAATGTTGTTAAACAAGCTGATTCAATAGATGGACTCAAAGGCAACTTACAGATGGCATCATTCCCTTTGTGGGGAAAATAGGTTTCACAGTTTAAATAAGATTCATTTCTAAATTGCTTGATGTAATGAAATCTAGGCATAAATTCAAACTGGAAGACTCTTTAGCCCCACCTGCATCATCTAATCAGTGCATCCCACTAATCAACGACGACCTATCATCGCTGGACCTAGCCATGTTCACGGCCAATCACCAACCATGCCCCAGTTAATAAGGACGTCCATCCAAAGCGTCTTCCGCTTCGCTGCTGCACTCAACCCATCTCCACCCCTTCTCCACCTCCACTGTCCTAGCTCTCCAGGCATATTTCATTCACCGACCTCCACCACAAGTATCGGGTCCCGGGGGATGACATTCCTATCAGCATCGGGAATGCTCATCCGAGCTCATCGCAATCACAGCTGTATGTCCTTAGCCGGGGGCCGAGGGCCAAAATCTTAATTCATGCATGTCAATAAACTTTTTTAATCGCTTTCTTTCTCTGTCTGAATCTCTCCAGATTGAAATGAAATTTCAACCCAAAAACTAATTTTGTGCTTTTTAAGTGGTGGAATATAGTACGAGATAAGGCCGACAATAATATGGCAAAGCTGAGCCCACTCCTTTACCTTTATCCTTTCCTTGTGTGGCTATGATGTTATGTCATCACCCAAACAAAGTTAGGTATAATGGAACTTCTTTGGAATAATTCATTAACACAACAATAAAACAAAATAATACTAGTACATTCCTTGCTATTAACATGAAAATGCAAGTTCACTTAAGAGGCCATAAACAAAAAAGAAAACAAATTTCAGAGCCAGTCAGTGTGGGCTTAGAAAGGGATGATCTAAACTGTTTGTGCCTTTCTGAACAGCACCACAGGCCTTTTGTTAACCAAAGAAGTATCCCTCCATTGTTCTTTGCTTTTGAAGTTTATGCTAATTGTTCATTTATACCCATGCATATTTAACAATGACCTTTCTGTTTAATTTCTCCAATTCAGCCTGTCTATGAAGACAGCAGAATATAATTGCCACTCCATGACGGCAACGTTTTTTTCTCTTTTACTGAGCTTACTTTTTTGTCACTGGAGACTCTCTGAGCTAGCTGTTGATGAGGGGTCTTTGCTAATTTGTTGGCCCATGTCATGCCGTTTCATCCCAGCTTCTTCATGACTTTTACATGAGGTGATTTAATCCTTATGTATTTACAGTGGTGCAATTGGCCTTACAGCAAGAAGGTCTTGGTTCAAAATCCAGCCTAAAATCGTTCTGCATGGGGTTTGCATGTTCTCTTTGTGCATGCTTAGACTCTCTCTGGGTACTCTGGATTCCTCCCACAGTACAAAAACATGACTGAATTGGTCTTTCTAAATTGTTGTTAGTTTGTCTTTGGTTGGTTGCCTGTCTTGCATGTCTGTTTTCCTGTTGTGCCACAATAATAGACTAGTTTTGGCTATGAATAACTATAAGTAATTTTAGTGCAAGTATTAATAAAACTAATAACTTCAAAATTATATAAATAACTATATTGATTATTTGGAATGCCAAGAGGTATTTCAAATGATCAAATACTAATATATATATTATCAGTTAAATTAAGTACAAATAATATAGGTGTTTTTGCTGTCACTTTTAAGAATATTTTATTCAAATTGGCATGACAAACTGAACTTAACTGTAGTGATTTATTACTAGGATCAACTTTTAATGTGTGTAATTGACTTTGAGTCT